CGCCGCCGTTCTCCCCTGAGATCCACCACAGCAGCCGACCTCCCCCACCTCCCCTGAGTTTTTATAATTAAGTTTTAACTACTATTCTAATGGTTAACATAGGGGATTTCTATAGTTAACCAACACACTAAGCCTGTGTTAGTGTGTTCTAAAATTGTGTGTGTGCGCGTGTGTGTGATCAAGGCTTGTACAAATATTCTAAGTAAAGAAAAAATCAAATACATTATCTTTTGTTCTTCATTTTCTTCACTTCAAAATGCATTGACGATATCCACTTGCACTTGTACAGATTCTGATATTGAAATCTGCATATGAAAGTTAGTGCACACACAATAACCCTATATATATTATTACTCGGTTCTCTTCATGCCAATGCTAAATTAACAATATTCTCTTATATTGACAACTAATACCAAGCTGAAACCAGTTTGGTTCAGCTCTTGTACCTCCATATATTCTCCTAGGAAGCAATATACAGATATGGCACACCTTGTCACGGAGACAAAACAAATTCTTAAAAGGTAGGCTGCATGTATATATGCATGTGTCCTTTTACGGTAGACATCAAAATTCGTAGTCAATAGGGCATGTGTTATTGGAAGCAGTCAAGTACGGGGATATATTTCTGTTTATTTAGCAAGATCAGAGAATCCCATTTATTTCATATAGTGCTTCTTGACAATAAGAAATCAGAAAGACTCATCTCCATCTCATTTTTCCTTCATGTCTTATGATTTCATATTTGGTGTAAGCATTATGTTGCCGATATAACATCTAAATAGAACTGTCATTGACCATTACTGATTCATTATGTTCATTAACATGGATTTATAATGTGATTATGTGCAATTAGTATCACGACGTGTATCTGTAATTCTGTATGGCTTTTTTTATTTTTAGATTGGTAATGATATGTATATCATCTTGGAAACAGTTTTGGCGTGGCACCTTGGGGGAAGCAAATAGAATATTCTCTAGTCGACATCCAAAGGGAGAAATTACAGTTATAGTAGAAGGAAAGGAGAAACCTGTTGCTGAAACTCCATCAGAGTCTGAACTGGAGCATGAACTAAGATCCTTGGTCTCAAATGGGCACAGTATTGCCATGGTATTCAATGAAGTTCATAACTGCTCTTCCTTCGACTTTGTTACATGTGTGTTATATTTGTAAGTTTTGTTCTCATCCATTATTTTCCATATACCAGCTAAGCGAACATTACTATTATAGGTAGCTGAAGGACCACTTTTTTAGTTTCAGGTCAACCAGAGATGATATACTATAAACTTGGGTCTCAGAACATATACTTCAGTAGATGATTTAATTATAATTTCCACACGAGTACTCAAAACATCCATCTTAAACAATCATAAGGTTTCTTAACTTCATAGAGTTACCATGGTTTGGGTTAAGTTCCAATTAAATTATGTCATTCTATTGAATATTATTTTTAAATAGATCTTTCTCAATCATGTGCTCTTCCTTCTCCTTGTATGTAAAAAAATCCCCATATGCTTTGTTTTTAATCCTAAATGAATCCTGTAAAACCTCTTTACTAACAGCTAATGCTAATAAGTTAATGTCATTCTCAAATGTGCCTTGAAAGTTGCAACCCTAAACTTCTTTTTTGTTCAGCAACATGAGCTGCTTTTCCCTGCTGAAAGGAGGGTATGTCTACTGGACTCTTTTGTATTGAGAAATATATAAAACATGTTTGTGCATATTTGAGCGGGCATTTACACAGACAGTTCTGTGGAGGAAGAAGCTTGGGTTAAAGAGGTGGCATGGGCATTTGCCATAGGCATAAAACTCATGCCCTATCTCAGAAGCAAAGACGCATCAACTGAAACATAAAATGTGTCTTATGTAGTAACCTTGCATCAAGAACACAAAGCTTAGTTTACTTGAACTCTTTTTGCCATTTGAGTTAGCATTCTACAATCAAGTTCCTTAATGTTATCACTTAAACGTAGGATTCCCTTCCAGATACATAAGAGCGAATGATGCAATAGCTTCAGATAGAGCAAAGCCCAAAATGTTATAACCAAAAGGCTGATGCTACACTTGAGCCTTAAGTTATCATTTTAAAACATTCAACTGTTTGTAGTTCCTGATGTGGGACTATAATATTTGGGGTTGTGAATGTGATAGGGTGGGGGCCAGTGGACACGTGAAGGGTTTTTCGTGTGAGGTGTTCTCGTGAACACTTGAAGACTCACGTGAAGAGAGAATTGCTGAAAGCTGAGGTTTGTTCAGCGGTTAAAAGGCCCACCCGGTACTTAACTACTATATATACCTAGTTCTTCCTAGGTTTTTGTGTGTGAGGTGAGGGGAAATCAAAAACCTGCGGCTGTACAAGATTGAGAGGGAAGAAAAGAGGCGCAGTAGTGCAAAAGAACAGAGGCTCCTTTATTTGGCGGCGTGCAAGGCTTTGACAGGGTCTTGGGGTGCGTGCAATAGGAGAAATAGATGTTTTTTTGACTGTTTTGAGAGAGCCTTTTTTGTGAGAGATTGGAGAATTAGTTTGAGGGTTTAGATTGAGTGATTGTAAACCCTAGTTGTATTCTCTCCCCTCTAATAGTAGATCCCCCCTCCTTGCCCCGTGGACGTAGGCAGTTTGCCGAACCACGTAAAATTGATTGTTTGAGTTTGTGGCCATTGTAATAGTTTTAGGATCCCTCGACGCGCAGTCCTAGAGCTGACGAGAGGAAGAGCAAATATCCCACTTTGATGGGATATTAGGCTTTCAGATTCTTGTTCCCTTTGAGAAACAAGAATTCTTATCGATCTTTCTCTCTTATTGTGCACCAGAAACTCTGCCGAAATTTCCGCTGCGCACAACAAGTGGTATCAGAGCCCAGATTCCAGATCTAGGGTTTGGTTGGAGGAGTAGATCAATTTGGAGGCCCGTTTAGGACTTCGTTGGTGATAAAGGTGAGATCTTTTGGTAAATACTCTATCTTTCAGTTTTGGATCTATTCTTTGTTCGTTGGTGCGTAAGATGTCGGGGAAAGAAGGTGCTTCGGGAGTCGAGGGTGGTTCTTCTGGCGTGAAGACTATTCAGAGTTTGAATATCCACTCTATGAAGATAGATGTGGAGAAATTTAATGGCACAAACAACTTTGGATTATGGAGATGCGAGGTTTTGGATGCGCTGAACGCGCAGAATTTGGAGGATACCTTGGAGTTAGATGGCAAGCCAGATGAGATTGAAGAGAAGGTTTGGAAAAAGATGAATCGAACGGCGTGTGGTGTGATTAGGTCTTGTTTGACTCAAGATCTAAAATATGATGTGATGAATGAGACTTCTGCGAAGAAGATTTGGGAGATTCTCGAAAGCAAGTATTTGACCAAGAGTGTGGAAAATCGCTTGCATTTGAAGAGGAGACTTTATCGTTTCCAGTTGAAGAAGGGAACCTCCATTAGAGATCACATGAACCACTACACAAAGCTTCTTGCGGATTTGGCGAATGTGGATGTCAAGATTGAAGATGAGGACAAGGCGTTGCTGTTGTTGAGTTCCTTGCCCGACGAGGAATATGAGACCTTCGTTCTTACTCTGATTAATGGGAAGGCATCACTTTCGTATAGTGAGGTCACCGCTGCACTTGTGAATTATCAGCTTCGAAAGAAGGATAAGGAGGCTTCGGTTGAGCCGGTAGCGGAGGCGTTGGTCGCAAGAGGGAAGGGTCCAAACCGAAAGAATTGGAAGTCACAGTCTAGAATTGGAAAAGATCAGTGTGCTTGGTGCAAGGAGACTGGTCATTGGAAGAAAGACTGCCCAAAGCTCGACGAATGGATGAAGAATAAGCAGAAGGGAAAAGGGAAGCAACCATCATCAGAAGCAAACATCGTATCGGATGGTAATAATTCTGACTCTTCTATTTATTCGCTTTCTATCAGTCCTACAGATAGCTATTCGGAGGAATCTGAATGGATGTTGGATAGTGGGGCGACCTATCATGTGTGCCCTAGAAGGGAATGGTTCTCCAGTTTTGAGAAGCTGGTGGATAGTGGTGTGGTGTACATGGCTGATAACCGTGCATGCCAGATCCTTGGGATAGGAAGAATTCACATAAAGATGTTTGACAGGACTGTTAGAGAGTTAAACGATGTGAGATATGTTCCTTCTTTGAGGAAGAACTTGATCTCGATTGGAGCTTTGGTTGGAGAGGGTCTGAAGGTTCGTGTTGAGGACATGGTTCTCGAGATTGCGAGAGACTCTCGTATTTTGATGAAGGGCGTCAGGAGAAATAACCTGTATTACTTGACTGGAGGTATAGTGGCAGGTGGAGAGCTGACGACTTCTGTTGATTCGACTAGACTGCGGCATTTGGGGCTTGGCCATTCCAGTATTGATTCCTCGCATAGATTGAAAGAGGGTGCAAAGACCTGCAGTTTGAAGTGTGGATGTGAGCAAGAAGACCGAGGTGGAGTTTGGCACCTCTATTCACCGAGTTAAGGGTCGTTCTGGAGGAGTTCACGTGGATGTTTGGGGGCCTTCCAAGGGGGCATCATTGGGAGGTAATAGGCGTTTGGTTTCCTTTGTTGGTGACTGTTCTAGGCGTGTTTGGGTTACAACCAAATCCCCTTTGGAGAAAGTCCTAGTAGTTTCCAACAGATTGAAGAAGTGTGTGACAGACAGAAAGGTGAAGGTACTCCATTCTCGTGGGAGATACAAGATCACTACAACAGATTGGTCTTTTAGTGACCAACTTTATTGCGAGAAAATTATTTTCCTCAACAAATATCACTTTCGACGAGGAAAATATTGTTTCCTCGGTAAATATCAGTAGGTCTTCTGTGAGGAATATAATTTCCTCACAGTAGACCACCTTCTACGATGAAAATTTTAGTTCCTCACTAAAGATGATCATGATTTGGTCTCCTAATGTTATTTTATTGGCGAGGAAATATGAGATTTTGGTGATGAACTTTTTCATTGCGAAAATGCACATTTAACGAGGAAATAATCATTTTATCATTGTTCTTTTGGCGGAAAATAGAGGAAAACCCGCCAAATGTAATAGCGACTAAATATGATTTCCTCACTAAAGATCCATAATCTGTGAGGAACCGTTTCCTCATTAAAAGAATCAAATAACGAGGAAATAATAGTTTCCTCATTATTAGTTGGAGGGAAGAAAAAAAACCGCCAATTTCAATGGTAACAAATTTAAGGCTTCCTCGCTAAAAGTTTTTGTTTTTACGAGGAACCGTTTCCTCGTTAAAAAGAACCTATTAGCGAGGAAATTATAGTTTCCTCACTATTAATTTTGCGAAAAAATTTACAACACCCACCAATTCCTCACTATTAATTTTGCGAAAAAATTTACAACACCCACCAAATTCATTAATGACAAATTAAATGTTTCCTCGCTAAAATTTTGTTTTACGAGGAACTGTTTCCTCGTTAAAAAAAACAAATTAGCAAGGAAATAATACTTTTCTCATTATTAGTTTGGTAAAAAAATATGCAACCCGTCAATTGCAACAAATTTAAGGCTTCCTCACTAAACGTTTTTGTTTTACGAGGAACTGTTTTGTCGTAAAAAGAACCTATTAGCGAGGAAATTATAGTTTCCTCATTATTAATTTGACAGAAAAATATGCAACACCCGTCAAATTCATTGACGACAAATTGAAGGTTTCCTCACTATTTTTTTGTCTTACGAGGAACCCTTTCCTCGTTAAAAGAATCAATTAGCGAGAAAATAATAGTTTCCTCATTATTAGTTTGACGGAAAAATGTGCAAAACCCGTCAAATTCAATGGCGACAAATTTAAGGCTTCATCGCTAAAAGATTTTGTTTTGCGAGAAATCATTTCCTTGTTAAAAAACTAATCAGCGATGAAATAATAATATCCTCATTATTCGTTGGCAAAAATTTTGGTGGGAATTTTGTTAAAAAGTAGGTGAGTACTCAAAGAAAAGAGCGGGCCTCTAATATCAATGGCCTAACAAATGTCCATATACAAGTCAACAATCGTGGGCTAATTTAGATTTTTTTGAATAAATGTCCAGCACGAGGTAAAGCTCCAGTATGGATAGAAATAAGGATTTGGTTTGTCTGGTTGATGGTTCCTTTTTGTAGGTTTTTGCAGAATTCACATGAAGATTAACGGCCAATTAATATTTATCCAGGTTCAAAGAGATCCCAATGATAAA